GTCCCGCCTCTGCTATTTTAGTCTGTGGAATGTTCTGCTTCTGCCATCTTTTCTCTTGTCCAGTTCCAGCAATCCAGTTATTTAATACAAAAAAAGCAGGGCCTGCACTTTGGCCTTCACACAAGAGGTAAGTAACAAACCATTTGAAGTAATTTTTCAGTTATTCTTCCGTCACTTTATGGAGCCAACAGCTCCTATCCATTTTCACTGCTGAGTTTCTTGAGCCCTATGTGGCAATTATGAATTATAAACTGAACTTCCAATTACACAGGAACTTGACTTTTAAAAATGTTAGAGGTGTTCCATCTCCAAGATTTGAAAATCATACACCATGTTACCTGCTAAGGTTAAAAGTAACACCTGGCTGTGGACCTATTTAGCACTTTTTAGTATTTACACTTATTAGCTGACTGCCTCCCACCTGCTACGTGGGAGAAGGGAGGGCAGGCATCATAGTGTTTCTGAGGGATCTTTGTGTCATTCTTTCTCACCTTTCAGACCCTAATAATCTCTTATCCATTTTTACTTAACTGAAACAATTTTCTTTGCTGAAATCATTCTGGCAATATGTTCCATACACCATTAACCTCCTGAAATAACTTCTTCTTCTAAACTCACTGTCCTTGTTTTTAGTGATACTGTCATTGATGATATAATTTGTGTTCATTATGGCAATAGCTCTACCAGTCAGAGTGCAGTTGTAAACCAATCAGCAATCTCTCTCTTAGTATAAAATGTTTTTACATTGCCATTTGCCCTTTGAGTGCAAGAAGAAAAGTTTTTTTTTTTTTTATTGACACAATGTCTTTTTATTTCCAGCAATGCTTAAATTTGCCGCAACTATATTAAGCTCTACCAAATTCGCCTCCTTTGACCTTCTTGTTATCTCCAGTCCCTTCTCCATTTGTCTATCCTTCATGTTAGTCTGCTAGTCTACGGCATGAGTGTAATTCAATAATGGAGCACTAAACTTTGCACCTGCTGTTCCTGTTATGGCCTAGACAAAGCTGTACATAACATTTTTAAATTACATTATTTTTGTATTCTACAACCTGCTATGAAATTCTCAATTCTATTAGTTTAACTTTTTTTTTTTCTTTTTGTGCTTTATGCACACTTCTGCAAATTATATTCTGTACTTGAAAGCCTTGGTTCATCTATTCATCTATAGTTTGTGCTTTTCCATTAAGTGTGTATTCCAACTCCACTTTTCTTCCCAAAATGCATTATTTCATGCTTTTTATCTTCATTAACACTTGTAACCTGTCCATTCTGCTAATCTCTTTCAATTCCTCCCACTTCCTACAGACAAAGGGGGTAGCCATGGGTACCCGCATGGGCCCAAGCTACGCCTGCCTCTTTGTAGGTTACGTGGAACAATCCCTCTTCCGTACCTACACCGGCCCTAAACCCCACCTCTTCCTCCGTTACATTGATGACTGTATCGGTGCCGCCTCGTGAGCTCGAACAGTTCATACACTTCACTAACACCTTCCACCCCAACCTTAAATTTACCTGGACCATCTCTAACACCTCTCTCCCCTTCCTGGACCTCTCTGTCTCCATATCGGGCAACCACCTCGAAACCGATATTCATTTCAAGCCCACCGACTCCCACAGCTACCTAGAATACTCCTCCTCCCACCCACCTTCCTGCAAAAATGCTATCCCCTATTCCCAATTCCTTCGCCTCCGCCGCATCTGCTCCCGGGATGAGGCATTCCACTCCCGTACATCTCAGTTGTCCTCGTTTTTCAAGGACCGTAACTTCCCCTCCTCGGTGGTCGAGAACGCCCTCAACCGTGTCTCCCACATCTCCCGCACCTCATCCCTCACACCCCGTCCACGCAATAAAAACCAAAAAAGAATCCCCCTCGTCCTCACGTACCACCCCACCAACCTCCGGATCCAACGCATCATCCTCCGACACTTCCGCCATCTGCAATCCGACCCCACCACCAAAGACATCTTTCCCTCCCCACCTTTATCTGCTTTCCGAAGGGACAACTCTCTCCGTGACTCCCTTGTCCGCTCCACACACCCCTCCAGCTCCACCACACCCGGCACTTTTCCCTGCAACCGCAGGAAGTGCTACACCTGCCCCCATACCTCCTCCCTCACCCCCATCCCAGGCCCCAAGAAGACTTTCCACATCAAGCAGATGTTCACCTGCACATCTGCCAATGTGGTATACTGCATCCGCTGTACCCGGTGTGGCTTCCTCTACATCGGGGAAACCAAGCGGAGACTCGGGGACCGCTTTGCAGAACACTTACGCTCGGTTCGCAACAAACAACTGCACCTCCCAGTCGCGAACCATTTCAACTCCCCCTCCCATTCCTCAGACGACATGTCCATCCTGGGCCTCCTGCAGTGCCACAACGATGCCACCCGAAGGTTGCAGGAACAGCAACTCATATTCCGCTTGGGAACCCTGCAGCCCAATGGTATCAATGTGGATTTCACAAGTTTCAAAATCTCCCCTCCCCCCACCGCATCCCAAAACCAGTCCAACTCGTCCCTGCCTCCCTAACCTGTTCTTCCTCCCACCTATCCCCTCCTCCCACCTCAAGCCGCACCTCCATCTCCTACCGACCAACCTCATCCCGCCCCCTTGACCTGTCCGTCCTCCCTGGACTGACCTATCCCCTTCCTAACTCCCTACCTACACTCACCTTTCCTGGCCCCATCCCCGCCTCTTCGACCTGTTTGTTTCTTCTCCACCTATCCTCTCCTCCATCCCTCTTCTATCCGCCTCCCACTCTCTCCCTATTTATTTCAAAACCCCCTTCCCCTCCCCCTTTTCTGATGAAGGGTCTAGGCCCGAAACGTCAGCCTCTCTGCTCCTATGATGCTGCTTGGCCTGCTGTGTTCATCCAGCCTTGCACCTTGTTGCCTCTTTAACATAGTTTCTTAGTTCCTCAACACAAGAAATAATAATGCAACATATACCCACATTTGAACTACTTCTTATTTCTGATCTTAAGAAAATGCCGAAAAAAGTGCAGATCAGGTTGAGTTAACACAGTATGGAGCTGGAGAAACACAGAAGGCCAGGCAGCACCAGAGGAGTAGGAAAGCTGATGTTGCGGGTCGGGACCCTTCTTCAGAAAAGGTGGAGTGATTTGTAAAAAGAGTGAACCAGTAGAACTCTGCAGCCATTAACAGAGGCACTGGTAGCATTATCACTGGTAGATGAACAATCGAATTGAGATTCTTGGCTTTGCAGACTGTTTGAGATTCCTTCATCCTGGTTTCTTTCAGCAATGGCTGACTGGCAATATTTGGCGTGAGTAAACATATCTTTTCCACCTGCAATGCAGGAGAATTTAATGGTTATTCTCAAAGCTGTGACCTCCACAACAAGCTAGTCCACATACTAGAACATTGGGCTACTGACAGAGGCCAGAGTTGAAGTTCACCTATTCTTTTGTTGCATATCCTTGAAAAACTAAGGCACAAACATGTCAGCAAAAGATAGCTCCCTGCTGATGGGTTGTTGGGTAGTCAACTTCTCATTAGCTCATCAATTTTTGACATTTCCCCAATTCTGGACAGATGTGACATTTCAGAGCTTCTCTCCAAACAGCCAATTAATTTACATTTGCAGTCACCTTGGCTGTATCAGTGCCCACTGAAAGAATAAGCATTGAAATTAAGATTCAACACGTTCATAATCTGTAGTGATGACACATGCCAAACATGGAAGAAATTTTGCTGTAACTTGCCAAGGCAAAGATCTTCACTACCCTCTATGTGAAAGATAAAATACTGCCAAGTTGGATGAAAGCAGTTTTTGACAATATTCTGGATGCCATTTGGGAGGTACAGATGTGTGTGAATGTTCTTTACTTTTCCAGAAGACTGGAAATAGCATCACCACAGAGTACAAGATAAAGATCTCCCAGAGTGGAAGCAATTATGAAGAAATCCACTCATCTATGGATGTGGAGATTCAGTAGTGTAACTGTTAGAGGTTGCCAGATAAACTTCAAGAAGATGCAACTGAAGATGCCTGAAGTTAACTACATAGCTCATATACTGATAAGGAAAGGTTGGTGCCTTGACTTTGATAAAAGGTGAAACCTGTGGTACAAATGCAGCAAATCAAGGAGATACAAAAGCAGTGTAATGATTTCTTGGATTGAAACATTTAACAAAGTTTTGTCTAATTTGTCATCAGAATGTGAACTCCTCTTCCCCCATGCACATGTTCGATACTAATAACGTGCAGTGAATTTGGGGAATAGAACAAGCAACAGCTTTTACCAGAATCTCAAAAACCAGTGCTCAAGCATTACAGTGTCCAACCAGTCATCCCACAGGGTGATAGCAGCAGGACAGAATTTGGAGCAAACTTTATGCAGCAAGGAAAACTTGTTGCATTCGCAGTGTTATTGCAAACTGAGCAATGGTATGTACAGATGGCATATATGTTGCAAGAGAAAGAATGCCTGGCTATATCTTTGCTTGGAAGCATTTTAAAATCAAGAGAGGGGGATCCCAATTTACCAATATCTGACTTCTGAATGCTTGTACTTACGAGCAAGATCCCATATTGAAGATCCAACATGTCAACGATTACTTGTACTCACCAATGGCTGTTTTATGTTGTTCTGTATTGTATTACAGTTATACACTGCTCCGACATGCATACAAAGCGACTTACAAATGCACCTGGGAGCAGAGCCCATTCATATCCCAGGCACTATTTGTACCTGTTGTTTGGGAGAGACAGTGATGAGAAAGTCTGATTACGAGCTACACTCGGCGCTCATTAGTTTATAGATTCGCCACCCACGAATCTACATTTTGGCGAGTTTAGACACAGACTCCAGCTTCTACCTCCCCTCATCCATCCGGTCTGATCGCGCAAACCTTCACAATAAATAGGCTTTGGATGGTAGCGGCTCTCACTTATCCACAGGAAGTCCATAACCCCACCTCCCACAGATAAGAAGGATTTGGTGTACTACAAAGCATCTTTCCCAAATTCTTACCTGTTCCGAAGCATCTGCAAAAAAAAAAAGGTACTATGTTTGTAGAGGTATAATTTGTAAGTGAAATTCAAACAAAAGAAGCAGATACATATTGCCAATATGTTTCTGCTGCTTCAATCTCTGTTGAGAAGTTGAGAATACTAACACAGTATGAAATCTGCCAGATTCGACGAGAATCAGCATGACATATTCTCGAAGTCGGGAAACCAGAAACATATACTCCATCTGAAAGACAAGCACTTTGCTCTAATCAAGGACTCACCACAAGTGTGACATCCTCCACAGAAGGAACATCACCCCAGCAACAAGCAAATTCCAGATAAATTGCCAACAACAGTTTGTATCAAAAGACATGAATGTTTCAGAAATGAGATGGGGACCGACAAAATTGGGACAGATTAGAATGAGCATTAGTTTTTGTTGTGAGTGATAGTAGCTATGAAAGAGGAGGCTAGAAAAACTCAGGCTTTTTTCTCCAAGCTGTAGATGCTGAGGGGAGACTTGATAGAAGTCTATAAAATTGTGAGATGCGTAGATAGGTTTGACTGTCAGAATCTTTTTCTCCAGAGTTAAAATGTCTAAAACCAGGCAGCATGCATTTAAAAGGTAAGAGGAGCAAAGTTCAAAGTTCAAAACGGGACATGAGGGGCAAGTTTCTTTTAAAAAAAACAGAATGGTAGGAGTCTGGAATGCACTGTCAGGTTTGTTGGCGGATACAATAGGGGCATTAAAGGGACTTTTAGATAAGCACATGAATATGCAAGGAATGGAGGGATATGGACTAAGGGCAGGTGGAAGGGATTAGTTTAATTTAGCGTTATGTTCAGCACAACATCATGGGCTGAAGGGCTCGTTCCTATGCTGTACAGTTCTGTGTTGTACGAAAATTTATGAACGGTACATTTAGTAACATTTAAACAGACTGGTGCATGCAAATTGTTTGGTTTTCTCCATGAAAGAGGAATATTTGGAAGGCAACTGCATACAGTAACCTGCCAGTCATTCAAGCTCTGTTGCAAGGGCTTTCAGTCCACAGCAAGATGACATTGAAGATGATAATGCATTAAACCACAATACAGCATCCATCAGACTGCATCAGGCAGAGATCAATGACTTTAATCAAATGTACCAGATAACTGATAACACCTGAAAAACAGCCTTAGAAACAAGCACTTGCTTTAGAGAGAGAGGAAACATTAATAGCAAGTAAAAAGACTGCTGAAATGAACATAAAATGAAGGCAAAGGATGAATGCAACAAAAGCAAACACAACTTGCTTGTGAAACTCAGCAGGTCTGTCAGCATGTGTGGAGAGCAAGCAAAGTTGACAGAGTCTGGCAATTCTTCAAACTGGACTCAGACTTGAAATGTCAACTGCTTTCAGATCTCCAGCATTCACAGTTCTTTCCTCTATTTCAATGCGATATCTGCAATGGCTTTACCTGTAAACTAATCTTCTTCCAAAATATCAAACACAGAATAATTTTACAGATATAGTAATACCTCCTGTGGCATTTCTTATAAACACCCTTCTGTATACATCCATTGATGTATACATCCAGTTTGTGACTTACATACAGCTTGATTATTTTAGTTAATCTACAGTTCTGCACTCCCAGAAACATGAAACAATAATTGACCCTATTGAAGTAGATCACTCTCCAACTAGCCTGTCATCTTCATAAACACTTCCATTCATGTATACAACTGACATCTTAACTATTCATAAACATTATGCTGCCTTTTCTTTTCATTTCATCAAATGGTTTGTTCTGTATAGGAAAATAGTCCTATCCAGCGTTATAATTCCCAGATGTTTTCAGACTTTAAACTTAGAACCAACTGCACTTGAAACTCTTCTTTTTCACTAATCTGATGAACAATCATTAATGAACAATGGAATTCCAATTGCTAGAAATTTCTTATACACAGAAGGCTGGGAAAACAGAGGGCAGAAAGTGTTATGGCTATATCCAAATGTGGCTCTGAGCAGCAATAAAACAGCAGCAAGGTCTTCTACCCTCTGAGATCATGTTGGCAGGGACAAAACATGTGAGGTCATCATACCAGCTGGTACAGTTTCCATAGAAACTCAACTTTCACAAAGCAATTAGATTTTCCAGTGACTGTAAGCATCACAGCAGGATTTAAAGTTTTACTTTTTTTGCAAGTAGAAAGGAACAATAAATTTTTTGTAGCTTATTCTTTCAACTAATGAACTGAACTGCCCCTTTTACTTTTAACAACTGAAAATCCCACTCCACATTTAGATATACATTATTCCTCAAATAAACATTCAAATCTCCCACAACCACTCCAGAAGTTCCTGAGCATTCCTTCCATTCTGATAAATTTTAGCCCATCAGCTGTCTTTCACAGCAAGTGACTTTCCTGGATATTCACCCGTTAGCTCAAGGTAAGTGCATCTTCCAGCCACATTATAAGTCTTCATGAATTTGGTCTTCTCAATTCACATGCGAGCTCTCACCTAAGTTGCTGCACCGTGAACCATTGGGACACCTTATTCTCTCAGATCCTGGCAGATTGACCTGCCTGTGAAATTCTGAAGTACCTTTTAGAAGAAACTTGCAATAAAATTGTAATAAATAAAATGGCTGCCTACACACCCTTTTCCTATAAGAAGCCTAGCTCCAAGGCAGTGTGAATAACATGGGCCTTCTATCTAGGTAGGCATGCTGTTTATTTATCCAGGAGACTGCCAACTTCATTCTGTCCTGAAATCAAATAAACAGTTAAAAGTATAACCAAATAAAAGCCTGACATTTTCAGAAAGATGTTGACACTTTGGCAACTAATTATCTGTAATCAGCATTGATTCTTCTGCCACTGCCACCACATCATGAGCACATTACACATTCTTCCAAGTGAAGTAGCCTGGTGTGCCTCTTTAATAATCAAACCGTCCAAAGTTGCAGTAAGCAGAAATCAGAACATGTCATGTGATTGGTTTTATTTCTCCATATTAACCCAACTTAAAAACGCTCTCAAAAATGTAACCCCTTAAATGCATGTATTTGTAACATAGCTCAATTTACTTGAATGAACCACAAGACAATATAAAGATCTGCAAGATGAGGTAGTGTGCAAGTACAGATTACTGGACATTTCCCACTTGTGTTCAGAGTGGCATCGCAAACAAATTGCAAAGGGCTAACGCTCAAGGCTATAAAAAAAAATTGATCAACAGAAATTTCATTTGTACTTCACATTTCATATTTCTAAAGTCAGAAGTGTTTTATTGAAGCTAACTGTAATTTATTACACCTATTACAGTCAATTACAAACTCTGCCATTTTCAAAGCGTGATAAACTAGTGAGTACCAATGAAGGCACAGTGGCTCAGTGGTTAGCACTGCTGCCTCATAGCACCAGAGACCCGGGTTCGATTCTACCCTCGGGCAATTGTGTATGTGGCGTTTGGACATTCTCCCTGTGTCTGCATGGGTTTCCTCCAGGTGCTCCAGTTTCCTCCCACAGTCCAAAGATGTGCAGGCTAGGTGGATTGGCTGTGCTAAATTCCCCCATAGTGTTCAGGAATGTGTAGATTCATTGGGTTATAGGGGGATGGGTCTGGGTGGGATGCTCTTAGGGTCGGTGTGGACATGTTGGGCCGAAGGGCTTGCTTCCACACTGTAGGGATTCTATGATCTAATGTTTGTTCTCATATAGTTATGAGAGATGTAATCAGATACTGTTATCTTTCTATTTAATTTCCAACATAGTTGGTCATATAAGCTTATGAGAATGGAATCTACAGTCAGTATCAGTTATTCAGAAAAAAAAAAATCATATGCCATGGCCCACTACTTGAGAGTTTATTGTTCATTTGCCTATTTTAAGGCAACTTGCTGGTTCAGTGCTTTAGATACAGTCTTCCCAAAGTATAAATTTACTCAATTTCAGAAGAGATGAGGAGCTTCACGCGACATGCCCCAATTGCTGGTGTACCAAGATAGGGTTCTTTAACGTGATTTCCCAGATCATACTATGGTTAACTAGATGTTATACAGGAAATGGATGCACTCTGAATCATAGGAGGTCATTCACTTACTGGAGAACCCAAGAAATAGTGTGTAGAAAAACCCAAATACACCATATTAGAAGATGAATAGATATATGGCAATTTTTCCCTATGAAGAACTGTGGGGAAAACAAACAAGATAAGTTCATGCTGGAAATTTAAAAACATATGAGCGAGATACAATACATTGAGACTATTTATTTCCACTGCAAATTATTTCACAACAGCTTACCTTGCTACAGATTGTATCACCTTTGTTGAGGTGTCTTTAAGGTTGTCCTTTAAGTTGCTGAAAAGTCGTCCCGCTCCTCCTTTTACCATGTCCAGCAGTCCTCCCCCAAATGTGGGTTCCATGTCTGGAGAGGAGGTGCCTAGTAAAAGCAACAAATGGTTAATTTACAGGAATAAGTTTGAAAATCCAGTTCCAGCAAGATAGGTAAAGTCCAAAATATTACAAGAACTTTAAATAATGTACTTATATGAAAAAACTGTTAAAAAAAAAAAACTGAAGTTGGTGTTGAAATGCAATCCAAAAAAATTTGCTTCAGAAAAGGTAACTAAAATGGTGGCTTGGCAAAGTGCGGAAGCTGGACAATGGCATGTGTAAAAAAAAAAAAAATCACTTTCCTAATTTTGTGTTAAAGCATTATTGATCAAATGACAAGTCAAACTAAAATCAGAAGAAAAATGCTCAAGAACAAGTGAAGATGCTGAAAGAGCAAAATAATTTTATAGAACTGCTTTTGATTAAAATTTGGGATACTTGTACAATCATTAAATGCAAGAAAACAAAAGTACGAAGTTTCCAGTACAACGATAGAAAACATTTACTTTATTTGGTAGTACAGAACTTTAATTTGACTGATGAAAGAGACATGGTGTTGAAGTGTCTCAGTTTGCACGTACTAAGACAGAACTGCAAATTGCTGCTCTTTGAGAGACTCCTTGCTATTATTGCACCATGTCCCATATTAGCAATTATGCTATTTATGCAACAATCTATCCAATACCAACATATTTAAAGCAACATAGTCAATTAAATAAATGTATTTGAAACTGACCAAATCTGACGTCTCGTCGGTGGTGCAATGGACTATAGTCATGTCCTTTCCCCTCACCAATTTGTATTCAAATACATTCCAGCCCACCAAAGGATTCTCCCTGGGGGTTGCCCCTTCTATGTGAAATGAGTTTATGGCAAACTGGATTTCTTCCTATGATACCAATTTTGCAGGATATAACTATTTGTAAACAAGGTTACTAATTTTCATAGAAATGGCAAGGGTTACAAGCAATCCGATTCAAGAGCAATAGCTACAAATCTATGGTTAATTACATCTAATTGATCAATGTAAATCAATGGCCTTGCTTAAATATTTATATTTCTTTGAAAAGTAATGAAATATTCATCCAGAACAAAATATTAGGCCTCCACTTCAATGCAAGTGTTACCTTGATAAGTTATCAAACTATTTGTAATTGGCAAGACAATTCAATAGTTCAAACATGCATAATAGTCATTAAAACAACGATTTTTGTCAATGCAAGTTCACAGCATCATAATAAAAGTCTTGTGCTCCTAACAGTCTAGACAAATATGTTTATTTTTGGTAGAAATGAGAAACTCCCTCAAATGACAATACTGAGCTTTCTACACTGTTGGACTATTCTGACATTCACTGGTACAATATTTCAAATACTGTACAGAAGGAAGCCATTCAGCCCATTGTGCCAGTGTTGGTTTTTTGAAAGAGCAGTCATGCTTAGTCTCTGAATCTACTCTCCCCACCCACCGCCCCATTTCTTCACTAAATAACTGTCCGACTCCATGAATCAGTTTTCACTACCTTTTCACTCAAATTGGACTGAAATGAGAAGATCAGAGGGGTTGTGAGAGTTTTAAGAAGTTAATTTAAAATCTATGGCTTCTGATTGTTTACCCAAAAGCCAGAGGGAATGTGTGTATTTATTCTAGTAAAAATCTCAATTTTTAAAACATATTAGACTGACACATAACTTTTTCTATTTGAACAGTCCTAACTTTTACACAGCTTATTGTATCAAGAAATCAAAAATCCTGACAGCAAGTTTCTTGTCAACTCCATCTGTCCTCCTTTCTAAAGGTCATCTTTATAATTCAACCCACAACACTAAAACTAAGGCCTAGATACAAACCAAGTTCTACATGATCTCTATTTTACGTTTGACGCCTGTATTTATAAACCGAAATAACCAATAAATTCATAATGGAGCTAAACAACATATCTATAGGTACCAGAATTAAAGATTTGTATAGAGACACACCAGGGTCATTCTGCTTACCTACAATTTTCAAAATGTTGAAGTTTTCAACTATTCTTATCATGACTGCTGTTAAAGTTTCCTATCATCTGCAAACTTTAAACTGCTTCTCCCTTCAGCTAAATCTGGGTAATTTATATTAAAGAAAAACAGAGAGAGTAACAGACTCAAAATTAACCACTGGTGAAACAGCACGGCAAAGTATATCCCAGTGATCCTTTACCACTGTTTCTCATCAATGAAACAAGTCAGCATCCCTGCCACCATTCTCTTAATTTCATGGGCTTCCTTGCACTTAAACCTCCTGTGTGGTACTTCTGAAAGTCTAACACATATTCACTGCATTATCTTTCTTCATTCACTTATCCTGGTACCTCAAAGGATTTAATCAAATTAATCAGACACAATTCATCTTCAATTAAATCCATGCTGGCTGTTAACCCCTGTCTTTAAAAATTCAAGTTATTTTTTTGCCGTGGACACCATTTTCCCATAATTTCTCAACCACTGGTAAGCTGGCTGGCCTTTCGTTTCCTGGGCTGTCACTCTCCCCTCTCTTGAGTGGTGGTACCATTAGAAATTCATCAGTCCTCTAGCACCATGCATATATCCAATGATGAAAACTGTGGACAGAGGAAGGAAAATAGTCCATACACACTGATGCCTGTGTTGCTGGGAGTATTTGAACTGTGGAAATCAGTGCCTTAGAATCAGAATTTGGAATTTTAAAAATCAAAATATATAGCCTATGTAAATGTTATATAGCACCTTTAACATGGGCTATATATGGTTTATAAAATTAGGCACATAGCACCTTTTATAATTTCAGAACATCCAAAAAATTTCATCAAGTGTGGTATTCTAAACAGTAGAGTTGCAATGTAGTACATAGGGTCATGAGTTTGCATACAACAGCCCTCATCACAGTTTGATAATATAACCAAATTGAGATTTTTTTTTGGATGGAGAAGTTTAAACATTGAACAAGGCACCAGGGAGAAACTTCTGTTCCTCTCTGAAATAGTGGCACAAAATCTTTTAGATCATAGGACCATTGGATACAAGAGCAGAATTAGGCTGTTCAGCCCTTCTAGTTTGCTCTGCCATTTGATCATGGCTGATATGTTTCTTAACCCCATTCTCCTGATTTCTCCCCATAACCCTTGAGCTCTTACCAATCAAAAAACTCTCTCCATCTTAAATATACTCTGTAACAATGAGTTGCACAGGCTCACCACAGTGACTGAAGAAATTCTTCATCTTAGTTCTAAATAGTCATCTTTCACTGAGGGTGCCTTCAGGTCTCTGCTACTAGTGGAAATATCTCCTCCACATCTAAATAAAAACCGAAAGAACTGCAGATGCTCGAAATCAGAAACAAAAAAAAAGTGCTGGAAAAGCTCAACAGGTCTGGCAGCATTTGTGAAGATAAATCAGAATTAACGTTTTGTATCCAGTGACCCTTCCTCAGGGCATCCAGTCTGTCCAGACTTCTGTATGTCTGGATTCTGTAATCTAAGTTTCAAATCAGATTCACCTTCCCCCATCCCCTATCATCCTTCTAAATTCCATGAAGTATAGACCCAGAGTCGTCAACTGCTCAGAGTACGAAAAGCCCTTCATCCCCTGGATCATTCTTGTAAACCTCCTTTGGACACCTTCCAATGCCAGTACAATCTTCCTTAGATAAAAAAGGTCCAAAATTACTCAACATTCCAAATGGGGTCTAACCAGAGCCTTATGCAACCTCTGCAGTGCATCTCTGCTGTTCTTTTCCAGCCGTTTTGAAATGAATACTAACACTGCACGTCTTCCAAACTACCAACTGAACCTCCATGTTAACCTTAAAGAGAATTCTGAACTAGGACTCGCAAGTCCTGTCGTGCTTCATGTTTCCAAATTTTTCCCCATTTAGAAACACCTACACATCCATTAGTGCTACCAAAGTGCACGACCTCACAATTTCAACTGCAATCTAACCTGCCATTTCTTTGCCCACTCTCCCAGCCTATCCAAGTCCTTCAGCAGCCTCCCTGCCTCCTCAACATTACCTGCCCCTCCACCTATCTTGGTGTCATCTGCAAACTTAGCAACAATGCCCTCCGTTCCTCTGTCCAGATCATCAACGAATAGTGTAAATAGCTGTTGTCCCAACATTGATCCCTGTGGAACTCTACTAGTCACTGGGTGACATCCTGATGGAGATTACTTTAATCCCACTCACTCTCTTTTGCAGTCAGTCAATTCTCTATCCATGCCAAGGCCTCCCAGAAATCCAAACAGATGACATCCACAGATTCTCTTTGGTCTAACTTGCTTGTTACCTCCTCAAAAGAATTCTAACTTATTTGTCAGGCATGACATCCACATGTCAAAGCCGTACTGACTCAGCCCTGTTATACTGTGCACTTCCAAGTACTCCTTAATCTCATCCTTAATAATGGACTAAAATCAACGACTCAGGTCAGGCTAACTGCCCTACAATTTTACGCCCAACTGTGAGATGGATGGAGCTATGGTTTATTATCTCAAATGAAAGACAGAATATCTTAAATTCAACAAGTGCTATACTATATTACTCAAGTCAGGTGCAGTATTGTGTTCTGTTTAAGTCTCGGAAATGGAATTTGAGCCCACAAATTCATTTGACTTTTTTTCTATTCATGGATAAAGGAGTATAACAGGCTAGGCATGTATCTATTGACAATTCTTAATAACCCTTGATGTGGCAATGGTAAGCTGCCTTCTTGAACTGCTATAGTCTATTTGATGAAAGTCAACCCACATGCTGTTAGGGAGGCTGCTCTGGAATCTTGACCTTGTGACAATAAAGGAATGGCAATATATTTCAGGAAGATGAGTGGCTTGGAAGGGAATTGCAGGTAGTGGTGTTCCCAGGTAGTAGCTACCCTTGTCTTCGAGATGGAAGTGATTGTGGGTTAATAGACCATGGTGAATTTCTGTAGTGAATATTGTAGATGCTCAGTAGCAGCAGTGTGCACCAGTGAAGGAGGGAGTGAGTATTTGTGGACGTGGTGCCTATCATAAATAACTAAGTGTCAAAAATAGA